GGATGTGTATAGAAACATACATACATGTAGATCATAGATATATGAGTGGCTGGATGGGTGAATGGATGGACAAACTAAGATAGATAGATAGATAGATGAAATAAGAAAGAGAGAAATTGATGGATAAAAGAAAGAGGGATGGGAAGATGAATAGATAATAGAGATAATAAATGGATACATAGATGATATAAGAGAATTTTTTTTGACAGGCAGAGTGGATAGTGAGAGAGAGAGAGACAGAGAGAAAGGTCTTCCTTTGCCGTTGGTTCACCCTCCAATGGCCGCTGCGGCCGGCGTGCTGCGGCCGGCGCACCACACTGATCCGAAGACAGGAGCCAGGTGCTTCTCCTGGTCTCCCATGCGGGTGCAGGGCCTAAGCACTTGGGCCATCCTCCACTGCACTCCCTGGCCACAGCAGAGAGCTGGCCTGGAAGAGGGGCAACCGGGACAGAATCCGGCGCCCCGACCGGGACTAGAACCCGGTGTGCTGGCACCGCAAGGCGGAGGATTAGCCTAGTGAGCTGAGGCGCCGGCCAAGAAAGAAATTAATAGATGGATAGATAGATGAAAGAAATTGGTGGACAGATGCATAGATAACATATGATAGATAGATAGACAAAAAACGGATGGGCAGAAGGACAGATAGGTGATAAATAGATGTAAAATATATCTGTGATCTGTGGTATGAAATATCATGGAGGTGAGGATAATGGAACATAAAGCAGTAAGACTCGGGATCTACATGCATGCACTAAAAATTATTGGCCCTCACAAACATAAGCTTGAGATAATGAAGCCAACTACACACACATACACACACACACACACATGCACAACGTCCATGGTGTGACTCCACGTGAAATATTAAAAGCAGGAGAAATTAATCTACAGTGCCCTGTGTTGGGATCTTGTCTGGGGAAGGGAGGGGTATGGTAGTAGCCGGAGGAAGCAGGAGAGGAAATTCAGGAGCAGGGAACTGATCATGCTCCTCGGCTTGGTCAGGTGCCAGTGGCATGGGTGTGTTGAGTTGGTGAAAATCCATGAAGTTGCACTTACAATGTGTGCTCTTTTTTGCATAGAGCTTTTTTAAAAAAAAAAAGATTTTATTTATTTATTTGAGAGGCAGAGTCATACAGACAGAAAGAGACAAAGAGAGAGACACAGAGAGAGGTCTTCCAACCACTGATCACTCCCCAAAGGGCTGCAACAGCCAGAGCTGGGCCAATCCAAAGCCAGGAGCTTCTTCCAGGTCTCCCAAATGGGTGCAGGGGGCCCACACACTTGGGCCACCTTCTACTGCTTTCCCAGGCCATTAGCAGGGAACAGAAGCAGGCAGGACACAAACTAGCACCCAAATGGAATGCCGACACCACAGGCAGAGGCTTAGCTTACTACGCCACAGCACCTGCCCCCTGAATATAGCTTATTCTTTAGTTAAAAGTTGTTTTAAAGAACACAATAAATAGTTTTGTTCCCTATGTACTAACATAAGATGACCCAATCATATAGTTAAATGAACAAAGTTAAGTTAAAGAACAATTGGATTGAGATTCAATGATTGTTTACAGCCCTTGTCTCTACTGTTGAGAAACAGTTGCTTTCTTACTATTTGTTGAACTCTTTACTTGTATAGGGTTAATATAAAAATCATTGTAAAATGCATGTGTAGGATTAGTATAAGATCAATGTAAACATTGTGTAGGGTTAGCATAAAAATCATTGTAAAAATTAAGAAATGAAGGAGGAGGAAGGGTAGGAGCATGGGCAGGAGGGAGAGGAGGGTAGGAAGTATCAGTGTGTTCATAAATCTGCATATGTGAAATATATGAAATTGGTTTACCTTAAATAATTTTTTAAAAAGAACAATTGTAACCACAAGCAGCTAAGAAGGAGTCAAGACTGAGACAGAAACTAAAAGCAAACTTTCCAGTCTTGTGCCCAGGATTGCAAAGTAAATATTCAGAGAAATGGGAATGGTTTGGTTGTGTTAAAGAAAGAAGTTTGTGTAAGCATTCGTCTCTTAGGAATGGAATGGAATGAAAATTTTCACACAAATAACAGCAGCATTCAAGCTAGCAAGCTGCAGAAACAATCCAAATGTCCATCAACAGATAAATGGCAAACATAATGAGGGTTATCCATGTGTTGGAATATTATTTGGCCATGAAGAAGAATGATACGTGCTACAACGTGGATGAACCTTGAAGACATCATACTAAACAGAAGTCGGGCTCAAAAGATCACATGTAATGTGATTCCATTCCTGTGAAATGTTCAGAGCAGAGGAATCTAGAGAGAGAGAAGGCAGATTAGTGAGTGCCTACGGCTGATCCATGTGGAGGGATTGGGAGTGACAGGTAATGGATACAGGGTGGTTTTTTTTTTTTTTTTGACATAATAAATCTTCTAAGACTATTGGTAGGATTGCAACACCGAATATGCTAAAAACCCTTGGTGCACTTGATGGTACATGAATTATCTATCAGAGAATGAAACAGAATCATAAAATAAAATTCTGGAAAAGAACAGAGAAGGAAAACCACAAGGACAAGAAGAGAGGGGTCAGGCAGACATGAAATTCCAGTGGAAGCAGCTGCACCAGATCCTCCTGGGTTTGAACAATAACCGTGCCAGTGACCGGCTCATCAACCTGGGCAGTAGTTTCAACTCAATGAGCCTCAGTTTCCCCATCTGCAAAATGGAGGTGACGATGCCCCCAGGAAGACAGGTAGGGCTCTTGATGACTCGATGAGGCACTAGGAAAGTGAGGCTGGTGTTATGTACACAATAGAAGGTGGTGGAATGGATACAATGGGTTTAGTGACGGGAATGACGGGTGGTGATAACCAGGTGAGCTGGAACAGGAGTGGGAGCAGGGGACCTTGTGGTTGGGCTGGGACCAGAGCCTGATCTCAGCCCCTTTAGCCACAGGGGCTTATTGAGCCATCACTTATACCACAGACATTTGGTTGTATTTCCACACCAGGGCTGGTCCAAGGGTGTGTCCCTCTTGTCATGAGATATCTTGAGTGACAGAAAACTGGCTGGCAATAAAGGGCCAGAGGATTGAGCTGCCCGATTCAGAGCCAGGCCTCTCAGGAGACACCTGAGAAGATCCCACACTGTCAGTCACTTCTTGAGATCAGCACGTGGGGCTGATCCTCTTACGTGCCCAGCCCTGTCCTGGCAGCTAGGTGAGTGGCAAGCCTGGGCTTGGACTTAAGGATCAACTGTCTTACCACTGGTAAGTGATTTGATAGCTATTAGCTCACTCTCGCTTGCTCGCTCGCTCACTCGCTCTCTCCCTCCCTCCCTCTCTCTCCCTTCATCTCTCTCTCCCTCTTTCCTTCCCTCCCTTTCTTACCTTCCCTCCCTCCCTCCCCCCTCTCTCACACACACACACACACATACAGACTCACATACACACACACATACACACTCACACACACACACTCTCATGAATGGATACTCTCATCAGTTTGGGCAGAACTGAAGAAATTCCCATCCATTCACCCACCCAAGATTTCCTTTACTTGTTCATTTGTTTATTGTTTGCTTCTCCAACAAATTATATCCCAGACACCACCTCTGTATGTACGCCCACACTGTCAGCTCTGATGGAGACAGAGAAAAAGGGGTCAGGCTTTCAGTCCCACAAGTTTAGCTGCCAGGTCAGTCACAAGAATAGGAATCCAAGGCATGGCTGTAATGCAAGCCTAAACCGGTGGAGCTGGAAAACAGAAAGGGCAGGCAACTTCCAGAAGGCTCACAGGGGGTCACAAGACCTACCTTGCTTTTGCCATCGCTGCTCAGAATCTAGTGTCTTCCCAGGTCCTTTTAAGATGGGAACACTGGGTCTGAACGAGGGGAATGAGATGCTGAAGCTCACAGTGCTGAGTGGGATGGAAGCAGGACCTGATTCTGGTTGATCTGGTTCCAGAACTGTGCACTGGGCACTTCCTCCTTCACAACAGTGGGTTCCTCTTTCCTTACAGTACTTGCTCCATTTGTGTATCTGTGAGAAGGAGGGAGAGAGAGAGAGAGAGAGAGAGAGAGAGAGAAACAGGGAGATTTCATGTTTATGTGTCATATATTACAGCTACATATGTGCAAGAAGAATGCCAGTCTTCTCTGGTGTACCCCAAGTACATTACACATAGACATACCCAGAACATTTTTGCCTAGTAGATGGAAGAATGGATGCTTAGGTGAATAAGTGGATGGACAGATCAGTCGATTGATTGATTGAT